TTGTGGTTCTTCTCAAAAGTTTGCTATAGTGAAAAATTATTAATTTGTAATGCAGACAATATAATAAAATAAAGTAAAATAGAACTTTTTAAATTTGTATTACAAAATTTGGAATAGTTGATATAAGAAAGTTTTATATATAATATTAAAACTATTATTATAAACCATTTCTTGGTTGTTAATGTATATGTATAAAATTATAATTTTATATAATAAGATATACAACAGTTCTAACGAAATAAAACCAATAATACTTATATTGCTTTCAATCCCCTTGATTTTAAGTGTTCGAAGTTTTATTAAACGAATTTTACTTCAAACTTGTTTGAGACCTTTGAGGACAGTTTTTACTTTTATAAGAGGTTTAAGTCAGTCTTATTGATTTCCTGTGCACAAGTGGATTAAAAAAGGATGATCGAATAAGCCTATTATTTTGAGTGGTGCAGATTGAAAGGTGTGTGTGCGAGTGGGTGGCAATTCAATTCAATGCTTTTATTGGACAAATACAAACCAATCAGAAACAGCTTTAAAGTTTACATTTTCTTTTAAAACATATTACCATTATTTTATAACATGAAATCCATAGTATAAGCATATAATTAGTGGGTATTTTGCCTTAAAGTGAATGAAATGTTCCGTAGATTATTATCAGGTAGAGTAAAGTAGCCGTGATTTGTAAAATCAACCATAAGTATCATTGTTTACTCTTTAACTTTTAAAAATGCAGGAATTTAACGTTAAGAAGTGGTTTTGCACAATATTGGTATCAAAGTAAGAAAAAAGGTTTTCAGTTTCGTTATCATTTAGTTAGTAAAATCTTTGTTTAAATATATTCTATATCAAGTGATCTGTTTGCTACTGCGCAGTTAGAGGATCCGTATTAATTAGCTTTAATTAGTTAAGTCCGATTTATTTTTTACATTTAAGTACATTTAAGAGTATCCATTGAATGATGTCCTATTTTATTCCATGTCCAGATTCACAGAATAAATATATAAAATCTGATGTTATAAAGAAGTATTTCCATTCGAAGACTTTTCAAATTTAACTTACTTAAAAAGTACCTTAACTAATTGTTAACAATTTGGACATTTCGATAAATAATATGTGGCCCATTCAAAGTGAATGAACAAAGTTATTAATTTTAATAGCAAGTATATACAATGTTCAAAATAAATAAAAGTTATATTCTTATGTATTTTCATTTTTTCACTAACCCAAAAAGATGACGTTACTAGCTTAATAAGAACAAAGTTTCCTTTTTGAAAACTTATTTTCATACCGTTTTTACATTTTTAACTAAGCGTAGATAACAGTATGTTAATTATTTTTTTTAGCATTTTATAAGCTTCCGAACTAACATAAACGTACGAATTTATTAATTATTTAAATTTAAATTAAGACAGATTGTTTTATTTCATTGTTAACGATTAGAAAAATAAAGTTGTTATTAAAACCATGATAAAAGAGTTGTGATTTGATGGCATCAATAGAAAATATAGTTTTTCAGTAAGCCGTGCGATTAATTTGTGGACGTGTATGTGAAAAAATATTTTAAATCGAATCGATTTCCTGAGTATATCAAAAATAAATTTACACTTCAACTGTGTATTATATTTGTATTCTATACTCTATACTACACAACTGGGAAATGAATGCAAATATAATATCGTCCCTTCGGAAATCATATGTTGACATAGGGTGTCATGGGTTTTTACTTTTTGCTTGAATTCAATACTAGCTTTTCGATTATATTGGAAAAATAACATTAAACTAAAATGATAAATAATGGTGACAAATATTCTTTAACTATTTTAGCAGATATTTTTGTGAGTACCTTTTCATACATTTAAAGTTTAAATGAATTTATTGATTCGGAAGAAGATTAATATATTTTTTCTTAATACACACATGGGTCAATTGTGCCTTAAATTGTATTGTACGTTTATTTTGCAGTGGATTCTTTTAGTAAGTCAATATTTGCTTTTTCCACAACAGTGACACAATTTTAAGCAGATTTCTCAAATGCAAGATATCAAGATTTATTCAAAACCCATTAAATTTCAGTCAAAACCCATTAAACTTTACAGATAAATTGGGATCGAACTTAACCTCTCGTACCGTGAAATGTCTGCCACATTGCCTTGATTTTATTTTGATAAATTAGGTTTCCCTGTTAATTTGCTTTTAAAAAGTGGTGAACAAATGTTTTTGGAAAACTAATACTTGAATAATTATAGGAAATCAATTGTAAAAAAAATTAAATACAAAATAAGCTTACATTTGTCATTTGAATAATTCCTCATTTGATGCTTTAAAAAATATATTTACGAGTAGATATTTTAATCCTCAATCAGTATTTAAGTAAAGACATCAAAGAAACAAGTATAATTTTACGTACTTGAATAAATTACAAATTATTTTTTACACATTGGACGAATTAATTTGAAAGGCTTCTGCTCCATATACTGGCTAAAGTTAAGGCGTTTTAATCTTTTGTTGCAAGGATGAACGAGGAAATAAATTACGCATTATTATAATGTCTTATATCATACAAAACTTTGTAGTCAAGTTATTAAACGATGCACATGCGTTTCCGTCGCTCCTTTTATTCGTCATTTTAATGGATGACACGGGATTCAGTTTCTATCAAACCGCAATCATATCTGACAGAGGCTTAAAATTGATGTCATCAAACAATTTGATAATGAAGGTTGCAAATCACAGAACAGAAATCATATGATAATATTTAGTAAACAATGAATCTACAATACTGAGGATATTGGTGAAGCTCCTCTATAACTAACATGTATGAGAGGATATCATGTGTTATTTTTATTGTTTTAAAATGTAATCCACATCTTTTCAAAGAGTAAAAAAGTCTATTTACTTATTTAATACGCAAGCAGGTTTTTTTGTGACAATTACTCCTCCAAAACTACTGAACCGATTTACATGTTCTTGGTGTCATTGGAAAGAGCTTAACGTGAAGTTGTGCAGGAAACCTTTTTTTTGGAAATAATTAGAGGGTGAGGCACTGGGGCCCTTTAAAAGTTCATATTTCTCCATAAGATTAACATGGGAAACAAAAACTGTTTTGAAACTCCAGCTGTTGTCAGAAATTAAAAGTTAGAAGAAGAAAATATGGTAATTGTAAACAGTTAATAAATTTGCTAATTTAACCGTTAGTTAGCTACAAAAATTTACTTACTTGGTTGAAATGAAATAGTTACTACTAGTAAACACGTTGCTCGAAATCGAGCAATTGCGAAGAAGTAAAGTAGTTATTTAAAAACAAATAAAAGTAATCATAATTTCCGATGAGTTAAAAAGACTTTTAATTGACAAATAAATAACAGCAATTAAATTATACAGCTGATCAAAATGTAAACAATCATGTTCTTCATAAGGATAACATGGGAACTTTAACAGCCACTGGAGCAGAGCCCAAGGGACTTTAAAAAAAATGTAAGGTCAGTTTGCAAATCTACTTGACACGCTCTTTCCAATGAGACGTCAATGGATAAAATCGGTTAAGAAATGGCGGAGGAGTTCAACCGACAAAGTTTCATGTAGCGTATTAATTATATAGATTTGCATTTGGGTTTGCGTAAATATTGCAATGGAAAACAACAAGGGAGCCTGGATAAATTTATATACTAAAAAGAAAACTGAATTAACACTATGCTGCATTTCTTAGTAATTATTGAAAGAGCCGATTTGCAAACCATGGAAACATAAGAAAGTCATAGAACACCACCAAGGAGAAGAAAAATAAATAATGTGTTTTTTTATATTTATAATCGTTATTATGGACAACCTAAAGCGGCTATGAGTAAGGCTATTTGTAGAAAACACTAAAAACCAGATCAGCTTTTGAAAAATGATAAGATATTTACAAGAAATGTTGATAATATCGAACTGTTATGTACATCTTGAGTATTCCATTATCTTTGAGTCGAATCGTTTTTAAAGTCATAGAAAATTATGGCTGTTATTCGTTTAAAATAACGCCTGTAATACTTAGCAATTGTTCGATTTCGAGCAACAGGGACAATAGTATGTATTTAATATGAATGCGCGTTGAATAAAAGCATTCAAGTTAAATTATCTTTTACTATATAAATAGTTAGAACCAATCTCACTGTAGCTAGCCAACCAACTATATAATTACTGTTTTCACGTTTCTTTAAACTAAACAAAAATAATAAATATTTGTTTCAATGTCTTAGCCAGGTTAAGGTTTACATCATAGGATTGGAAATATAAAACTGGAAGATATTTCATTCTCCTATATTACGAAGATAGGTAAAAAAATTGATATGTAAAATACATACATACATGGATGTATCAATGAAATATCTTTTCTTTCCAGTTTGCACATAATGGAGTTAAAAAGTAAAAACTATACTTATAATGTTCTTAATTATTGAAATTGTGGGATATGTCCGTTAAATTCGTATTGCATTTTAGTAGTGTAACATATTTGAAAACAAACTCTTTGTTTAATTATCAATGTGACTCATCATCATTTTAAATATTATAATGGCGTTGTTGTTTTTAACGCTGAGCTGTTACCACTTATACATAACGTTTAACTAAATATAGTTTACAGTTATACTTTATCACACCATGATCTCAACAATTCAATGCTATTGTCCAATACAATGATTATGAAAGACTAGTTCAGCGCAGCGAGGTATACCCCACACATGTTGTACGTTGCATATATTTGTAGGTTTATTAGTGCGTGGCATTATACAGTATATACTGTTATATGAAAAAATTACATCTTAATAAAAAGAAAAAAAAAACATTTAACATATTGTGAAACGATAGCATTATTGTTTCTTACAACATTAGGTTAAGGTATCATACTGCCTGCTTTGTAAAAAGGGTTAAGTTCATGGTATTTATCACAACAATACTGCAATACACTGTAATGTCTAGAAACACATGATATTTGAATTAACACTGGTATTAAATTATCTTGTACTCACTCGGTGCTTCCGTAACAATATCCAAGTCCTCGTCATCTGAAGCAAGTGTGTTGGTCAGTGCTGCAGCGATCAGTATAAATAGTACAACCATATTTTAAGTACACTTATGAATTCTAGAAAACTCTTTCAAAGTATCGTTTAGCACATTTGAAATGTAATGCAGTTACATAAATTATAAATAAAAAAATCACACAGTTTTATTTGATGATAGTTTATCACGTAGGCATTCAAGGTTACCGGATGCGGTGACGTCGTGTAGTGGGAAGGTAGAACCGTGGCGGGCTGCGGCTGACCGCGTACTGAGGGTGGCAGCTCACACTCGGCAGGGAGACCGAGGATTGCCGGACATCCCCGAGCTGTCTCGTCAAACTCCTCACACCGGACTGAGTTACAGTGCTATAACTGAGATATGGGAGTGGATCATATTAAAAATATTTGATTTAGAACTGTTACTGACGAAGTAAATTACCCGTTGAGTATTAGTTTTTTTTTTTGTATGACGATTATATACGGTGGCTGAAAGTTACTTGCCACCCCTTAACCTTTTTACTATTTGAGATATTTGAAATCGGTTTATAGCCACCTTCTTGGATGTGAGGGGCTACCAGGGATACTAGAACGGACCCGGTATGGATCATAAACATAAACAAACTATGTTACTGGCCCGAAAGTTAACTTTAATTAACATTGCTTAAATGAAACTGTCTAAATCATATGTTAAGAGTCGGCATGAGTCAATAGTTTTACATTGTTGTTGACCGTCAGATGCCAGGCTAAAAAATGGCTGTCCTAGCACTGATCATCAAAAACATGCGTTTACGTTGAAGCATATTAATCATGCACCCAAAGCTTGATTACCAAACAGAAAGTTATATGTGATTCTTAAATATATTTTCCGTTTGAATTGCTTAGGCCTATCGTATTTTGAAAACTTTTGTTTTAGAAGTAGAAAAAAATGACAGTAAAATCACAGTTTAAGTCAATATATTTATATTGTTTGACAAAATAATAACAATTACAATCAAAAAGTTGACTTAAATCACATCCCTGGTTTCAATAGCTATAAAAGAGATATTTTGGAACTTTTTATCTCAATAAAAAATGCCGTAACAATGCCGTTCAATCACTAAAATTGCCGTTATGGACAGAAACTCCAAGGTGGCCGGCGATCCGGCTGACTCATAATGCTATAAAAATTCGGGCCAGCAACGTAATTTGTTTATGTTTATGATCCATACCGGTTCTGTTAAGGTATTCGTGGGGGCTACTACTATAATGATGGTTCATTTTTAAAACTTTACCCTTAGTAGTAGTTTAGGTAGGGGTGTGGCTCCAAATTACCAAAAGAGAAGAATAGTTGACTTTATTATTATTGTACAGGTCTGTATGAAACTTAAATATAACAACCAAACAACTAATAACAAAATGGCGAACTAAAAGTGATTCACAATTAAATGAACAGATATAACAAATAACAGCAATTATAGGGAGCTGGGGATTTTACATGTACATTAACCACGCAGACGCTATTAGCAATGATCTGAACTACATTATAGAATTCTGCCTGTATATAAACTAAAGTCAGAAAAATATAATAATTATCATTTTTTACCACCAAAATACAATCCTGTTTTAAGGCGTGTTATTATGGGTAATTATTAGTTAAAGGGTATAGTCAAAGATCTGAAGGCAAATAACCGATGGCAGTTAAAATTTAGAATCATTCTGGATTATAACCAATTAGTGACACGCAAAAACCAGATAAAAGTTAAACGGGGTTGTTCTTTAAAACATGGGTGATTCATGAATGCTTATTAATTGACTAATGAAAGACTATTTTCTAAAAGATAGTTTATTGTGATTTTTGACTAGCTAACAATAAAAGAAAATTGAATTCAATGGAGCCAACATGGTTTAATAATTTAACAAATTGTAATTTTTTTCACACTAACTGTTTGAAAAACGTATAGTAAACATAGAATTTTGTATGTCACCATTAACTATCATATATACTTCCAAAATTATTATTTACTATCAAATTAATACAGACTCATATCCTAAAACAATTTACATTTACTTTTGGTGATATATTGTAATACATACAACCATTGACACGATGAACGTAAAATATGATTTATAGAATGGTTGTAAGTAAACATAAATATTAATTCGTGGTACTCATCAACCGAACTGACTCTTACTGTTTCTACAACATGAGGTGGATACAATATTTAGAACATGAGCATTTCCCGAAATGTCAACACTGCAGACCGTCAAGAGGTCAGACTGACTGTAAACATGGCTGAAGAGCAACTAAAATCCTTGATAATGCTGATGCAAAAATGCTTTATCCTAGTTAACCATAAAATATTCAATGGACCACTTTTGACGAAGTTTGTAGTTAATGCCATGGCCAAAAGTGTAGCTATATAATTAGTACCTGGGGACCGAGCCATGGTTTAGTACAGTTTATTTCGATTGTAAAAGCAATATAAAGGAAACTCACGTTTTAACAACTAATCTTGGCTTTACTATTTTATATCCAGTGTAATTTTAATTTATTATGAACTCAGTACCCCGCTGTCCAAATTATATAAACTTTAAAAAGAGTACATACAAATTGTAAAATCTACCCTTAAGAGTGAAACATTATTAGTTGACGCCAGTGCACTCAAACGGCAACAACACGAAACACTAATCCCTCATCAACACTGACTTGCTCTATTTTCCCTTAAATCGATTAATATTCAGTGCAATCTTTGCTCAATAGTTACAACTAATGTTCATCACTTTGTACTGCTTTTAATACTTTGCCAATATACTGTGGATGGCTTGTTATGAACACGCGTAAAAAGTATTTTTCCAACTTTTTACTTGTTATTTTGATCAACCGAAATAGTTACTTGGAAACCCATAAGGCCAGTGATACATTTTAATCATTTTCAAATGAGCTGTATTGCAAAATATGAATTTTTCTGAGGTAGTGGATGTCGTCAATCACTTTTTAAGTATTTCAATTCTTAATTCCAAAATGTAGTCAAAATCGTTAGGCTAGATTTCAAGATATATTACAGACAGAGAGACAGACAAACTGCCTCGTATTAGATTATAGGATAAGATTATCAAATTTTTCATAAAAATGGTAATAGATAAAGCTAGGACGATGGATGTATAGCTGCAATGAAATATTCACGTTTCCTTGTTATTGTTACATTTCATAATAAACCAATCAAACCAACCTTACAGGATAACCGAAGACTGAACCCTCAGAGCTTGGTGAACATCCAGAGAAGTGGTTAAATATATTGTTTCTCTGTACATTAATTACTTAAAAGTAGCAAGCAGTGCATTACGGCTCAGCAGCATTCAAGCAACCCTAAACTATACTTGGCAACGGTCATGTTTTGCAGGCCAAACAAAGCAGCAATTAAGTTACCATTGGTTATATTGAACAGGACATATCCATTGCCAGCAACGCTAGCATGCTAGACAGGATGTAACAATCCTGTAACGCCTAGACTCGTGCACAACCCCACTCCGTATGATGGGAGACATGATAAACATTTTCCATGTGATGGGAATAATGTACTGAAGAATTCTACTTGATCAATAAATTTAGATCTAGAATTAGAATCTAGTTGAGCATAAACTTGGGTAATCAAACAATTATTGTACAAAAGACTTAAGATAAAGATTACTGTCCAACATTTCTCACGTAATCTATGTCAACATTTGGCTAGGATACAAAAGTAGTTATTATTGCCTGAGCTACATTACCCTATTGCCTTGATTTATATGACCCTCACCACAATGAATACACAGTTAAGGATCACAGGCTTTGGTTGGCATTGAGTACGCTGGTTGTTTACTGTCTAAGTATTTATATTGGCAATATTACACTTTTTTTAAATCGTATAACCTGAGATCAACTGTATCGCCATTTTACAAATAGAGAGATGCATTTCCGTATATCTCAGATGCAGTAACAATCTGGGGTCAAACCACTAACAACCAAACACGCTTTTCATTTCAAAATAAGGCAGTACGGATAAACGCTGGCACGTTTCAAAAAGGGCAAATAGGCTGTTATTGCATTAGGTTTACTGACTTTTCACATATGTACTTATATTTTCGATATTTTAATATTGTTAAAACAAAACTAAGTTTTTGAGTAGTTTATCCTAACTTTTTAGTATATTGTTTTAATAATTTAATGATTTGTCTCAACTCCAATACTATTCATATTCCTACAGCATGCATAATATATTCTTTGCGTTTAAATATAGGCTATGTGATCTTGCTGTTAGGTTTCCTTTGCTTTTAAATATATATTCGATTTAGTATAATTTTGATTTTTAAACTTAGCTAAATAGTTAAAATGATTATATGTGTTGGACGAACCGGTAAAAGTTACCTGTTAAGACAATATTGGGTTGCTTTACTTTTGCGGATTATTTGTGGCAGTAAAAAAAATTATAATAAAGTAAATAATATTTTAAGTGGATAGATTGCATTGTCACAATTATACCACTTATGGTGTAATCAATTCAATACACATTCAAATCATTTAACGAATTATTAATGTTGGGATAAGTTAACTACTCGCAAGGGATGCATTCAAATGACCAAAGTTCATACCAAAGTTTTACTATCCTAGAGGGACTAATCACGGATCACTGTTAAGATAGAATCGTTTTGACCAAGATAATGAGATCATCTTAGAATGAAAACGGTTACCGGAAACATTCACTAGGTGAGAGCAAATGGCATAATTAATCAGTAATAACATTTACTTTAAGGTAATTAGTTTAATAGTGGACTTTTACTTACATTTTTCCTCTAACATATTTAGCTTTCTATGATTTTGAAAGCTTGTACTTTTTTGTCTGATGTTTTATCATATTATTGATGTTAAATAATAATTACGCCAAATGTGTAAAGGACATTATAGTAACCCGAAATCAACCATACGCCACTTAATTACGTACAAATAACAATGTTATATTATAACAACAAATTGTTAAGTAACAAAGTATTAAAAATATTATAAAGACTAAATCCGTATTATTGATATTATTTCCATAAAATCCCCTCTAATATAATATAAGTATGTATTTGTCATGCTATTTATTTTTGTGTGAATTATATAACGTGAAT